TGTCGCTCCCGCTCCGCTCGCGAACCGCTCGCGTTCTGCTCCCGCATCGCTCCCGCCGTGCTCTCCCTGTGCTCTCGCGGTGCACCTACTCTGCTGCTCGCGTGGTGCACTCGCCTCGCACTCGATCTGCGCTCGCCGTGCTCTCGACTCGCGCTCGCATCGCACCCGTAGCGCACTCGTTTCATTTTTAAAGGGGTAGTTTGACATGTGTTCTACCTGGGGGGCGGCGTGTCGGCGAGATTTTTGGACCTTTTTGGATTTATTTTTGGCTTTATCGTTTTACTGTCTCTCAGTTTCGAGTTTTGAGAACGTTTTGGCTATGGGCATTTTTGGACTTTTCTTGCCCTGCTCGTTGGTTGTACTCTGCAATTTTCTTTTGTATGTTTTACCGTTTAGACTTTGTTTTGTTGTTGCGATGATTGTGTTAAATTTTCGACCAACTGCCTGGCTGTGGAGTCAACGGCTCTTATCAGTCCTGACGTATGAGGAAACCGCGAGGACGCGCTTTTTTCGGACGTTGGGAGTGTTGGCCCCGCTGGCTTCCAGCCTAGGGCCAAGGTGCATCATCAGCACTTTAGGTCAGGCACGCACGGCGCAGCCGTGCAGCCAGACGGCAGTTCCGCACCACCCGTCCTGCGCGACGGATCACCCGGATACTCGTTCGCGATTGCGTACCTCTCCGCCCTGCGTGGCGGACCACCAGCAAGTCGCGTCCTACCGAGAACCACCGATCAACTATAGTGCAGCCACCGGCATCCAACCACCTGAGTTGCTTATCTCTCCCCAAACCCGGACTTCCATCCTCCTACGGTAACACCATCCCACGCGAGACACGATCGGCTGCTAACACGTTGACGACGGAGGCGGAACTCTCGCGCGGCTAAAGGTTAAACACTTGGCGAAAAAACGGGCGGTTATTAGCACCAAGGTTGGCATTGCACCATACCCCACCTGTCAGTTGAGGTGTTTATGCAGGGGGTCGTCCGGTAACAACGTCTGCGTTTTTCGCATATTCAAACGCGGCAAATTGCGGGAGCTCGGCGCCTGTGAGACTTTTAGGGTAGGCCAGCCCGCATTACACGCATGCACTCCTGGCGAGATGTTGCCTACCCTTCAGGCGCTATTATTAAAGCTTGCACAGGCCGAACTTCGCGGGTTCGTAACGAACGGCAAATGACAGAAAGACTTTCTTTTTTGTTTGCGGGTGGGTCACACTGTAAATTGCTTACGAACAACAGGTCCGTAATGCAAACCAAAACCTTCGTAGCTTTCGAAGGATTTTGAAGCGTTGTATTATGAACTAAAGACCTGAGACTGCAGAAGAGAGAGAAAACTGGCCGCCTACCAATCAAAGGAAGGGAGCCGCCCCGTGACCAAACATATTTAAAATTGTTAATAGAAATTAACAACACAACAAGTAACCATCCTAAGGAATCTGGCAAAAAATGCACCATTTGCAAAATGTGTCAAGCAGCGCAGAACTCTTTTGTAAATAAAAAAAACTTTGTAAATCACAACCAGACCTCGACACCGCTAATGAATACACTACATTTTTATTAGTGAAACACGATCAGTTTATACCCTGAACAAAATTAGTACAAAAACGCCCTTTTGATGACGCGTGGAAAAAAAAAACATCCTTGTATATACCCCATCCCATACTACGTTGTGAAGTGAGTAGTCGCGAGGAGGGCCGCGCTAACCCGACCGGCGCAGCCGTGCCACGGTTTTGTTGGTTTTCCTGGCGCGAGTTTTAAGCAGCGCAACGCTACACTGCGCGGCCGACAAAATCCCCATCGCCAGCAACAACGATGATCCTTTGAGCCAGTCGGCCGGGGGCCGGACGGTGCCGACGACGAGCGAGAGAGAGAGAGAG